GGGAAAGAAAACTGAGAACACAAGAGAAGGAGTTGCAGAGATAATGACTAAAATTCTGAAGAAAATCAGTAAATTTTCTTAAATGGTATATTTTTTTAAAGCATATATAATTTTCAAAGTGTAAAAAGTACAAGAATGGAAATATACTCCCTTACTTCACAATAAAACTCACTAACTTCCCTTTGTGGACAACAAATTCTTCTTTTGGTTTTTATCAGAACTACTGGTGGAGAAAATGAGCTATCAAATAATACACATTTCTAAGTGGCAAGCCTTCAAGACTTGAAAAGGTAGAATATAATAGAGTTAGTTATTCCTTAAGGCTAAATTAAATGAAATTCTTTTACATAATTCTTTAAAATAAAATTTAGGAAAAGAATTAAAGTACTTCAGGAATATGTGTTCTACTTATCCCAACAAAGATGTTGCTCTCCCAATAATTAAATATAATTTATGAAAATACAGCAACATGTTTTGTGAAGATATTAAAGATATTACTATTGACTCCTACTTTGAGAATACTGGCATAATCTCCATTTCCCCCTTCTCTTCATAGAAATCATCCGAACAGCAAGGAGACAAAAACAAAAACACAAATTCCTTTTCTGATAAAATTAAGATAAGCTAAAACTCAACCCTCAAAATATGTGGAAGTGTTCTCCAAAACAATGGAGATCATGCAGGGGCTCAAAAGAGTAAAAGCAGAGGAGGAAAACTGCTTATCTCACTAAAAGGTAGGAAGATAAACTTCTCAAAGCGTAAAGCCTAAAACTCATGTTTCAGAAAAGGCAGGGCTTAAAGAGAAATCACTCAGAAATGCCCTATTTACAAAGAATATTCTGTTTCTATGGCAGCAGGGGAGAAAAGTTTTGTACTATGAAAAATTTTATACACAGTTGCCTAACCCTGTTGGCTGGAGAAGGATAAAAGCTGAACAAACTAACACACTAAATCCTGGATCATAAGGAAAATTCTAGATAGTCTAAATGTAGGAAGACTTGCCTCTATACTCTCACATAAATCTCTTACAAATAACTGGGCCAAAGCAAAGTAAACATACCACATAGCTAGAGATTTTCTATTTAAGGTGTAAAAACCAAAAGCAAAATAGAAAATTAGTTTCAAAACTTAGACCAACATCTTTCATCTCAATGAATGTAAATGAGCTAAACTCACTAGAGCAAAAGAAAAAGACTTTCAGACTGGATCATAAAATAAAAACCAACCCTATAATGTAAACTGACACCTAAAACTGTTTTTGAAGGTTGAAAATAAAACAATGGGCAAAAAATATAGTAGGCAAATACACACAAAATAAAGGTTGTGATCTTAATATGCCACAAGACTGAATTCAAGACTACCCCCCCACCAAAAAAAGCTTTAAACTAGAAAAAGAAGGTCATTTTATAGTATAAAAAGGATGCAGTTTCTTTCCAACAAATAGAGCTGGAGCAACTGCACATCCACAGGCAGAAGAAAGAAAGAAAGAAAGAGAGACAGAGAGGGAGGGAGGGAGGGAGAGGGAGAGAGGGAGAGAGAGAGAGAGAGAGAGAGAGAGAGAGGGAGAGAGGGAGAGAGGGAGAGAGGGAGAGAGAGAGGGAGGGAGGGAGGGAGGAAGAAAGGAAGGAAGGAAGGAAGGAAGGAAGGAAGGAAGGATCTCAATGTGAACCTCACATCTTATATAAAAAATTGGCTCAAAATGGCTTATGAACTTAAACATAAAATGTTAGAAGGAAAAAAGCATAGCAAAAAAACAAAGAAGAAAGTGTTCAGGACCTATAGATACAGAGGGGTTCTTAACAACAAAAGCACA